GCTGTGGGGCTGGCCCGAGTATTCTGATAGCTCGTTAACTCACCAGGGAGTTGCTGAGCTTCTGGGGTACACGGGAACCCCATGGTATGTCCCTCTGGGAGCCGAGGGCTCCCTTCATCTCTGAAGCCATTGTGAACTGTGACTCTCAGTGACTCAGGCCCCGTTCTTGGCCGGATTCTGCCGCTCTACTGAGAGATGTACTGCCCTTCCCGCTGGTGAAACCCTGGGCCTGTCTACCTCAGCGTGGCCCACAGTGTGGGCCGGGTAACTCTTTGGGACCGGCCTGTGCCTTGTCGGGTGTTTAGCAGAATGCCAGGCAGTGCTCTCTCCCTGAACCCCATCATGACGACTAGAAACGTGTCTAGATGTCAACACCCTGCCCCCCGCAGACTCCGTTCAGCTGCTGTTCTCACCTCTGTTCTGTTTTCCTTCCTCCAGTCTCTTCTCACAAGAGAACAGCAAGTGCCGAACTCAGGCAGCTGAGCCAGATCACCCTCAACGCCCCCAGGAAGGAGGGACTGTCCTTCCTTGGCGGCCTGCGGTCTAAGAACGACTCCCTCTCCCGCTCCAACGTCTGCATCAACGGGAATCACGTTTACCTGGAGCAGCCAGAGGCCAAGAGCGAGGCCAAGGACGGCAGCCCTGCCTCTTCCCCGTCCCCCCAGGGCTTCAGGAAGAAGCACTTGTTCTCCTCTACCGAAAACCTGGCTGCACGGCCCGGGAAGGAGCCTGGGGAAGGACGGGTGTCCCCCGACAGGCGGCTGTCCGAGTCTTCCCCCAAGGACTCTCTCAAGTCCATGTCTTTGCCGTCCTACCGCGCGCTGGCCGGCGGGGACGTCAGGGCAAGCATGGCTCCAGCAAATCTGGACCCTGTGAAGGACGCCAAAGAGAGCAGGAAGCAGGAGAACAAGAAGTCCTCTTTGCTTGCCCTGGTGACGGGAAAGAAGGATGTGGCCAAGGGTGGCGAAGGGGACAGCCCGCCTCCCGTCTCCGAGAAGGAGGAAGGTGTAGTCGCAGAAGCCAGGCGCAGGGAGGCTGGGCCGGGGCCCATTGGAGACCTCGGGAGAAGACCCGAGAAAGATGCTGCGGCTGTTGTCTCCAGTTGGGGTGACTCTCTGAACCCCTTCGAGGATGTGCAGGTTGCAGACCCGCAAGCTGACCCAGAGGCCAAGTCTGAACCCAAGCCACCCGCTCCCTCTGCAAGAGCGCCTCAAACCAAAGCCGTCAAGCCTCGGTGAGTGCCGGCTCTCTCCTGCAGGGTCCTGCCCTTTGTGGATGGTGCAGGGCCAGGGCTGCTTTGCAGGCACGTCCTGCCTGTGTCATGCTGTTCCCGTGTGTGGCAGAGGTGACAACAAGTCCAGCTATGCGTTCCAGCCACCCCCTCCTGCCTGCCTGGCCTGGCCCATACTGCATGGATTGCAGTGGTTGTCCCTGCTTGAAGCCACTGTCCAGCTCAGGAAGGGGTCCGGTCCCAGGGGGACATAGTGGTGTGTAGCGGATCGCAGCGCAGCATGCTGGGTGTTCAGGGGAGTGGTGGTGCATGCAGGGCCGCGGTCAGGCCGGCTCCTCCTCGCACCCTGGCATTGGTAGCTGGCACGGGGGACCTGGGTCCCCTCTGAGTGAGCCCCTGACGGTGCCCTGCGTGTGCTCTGCCCTGGCTGTCGGAGGCTGCGAGAGCCTCGGGGCGTCTCTGGACGTCTGTGTTCGTGCTGGCCGTAGGTCTGTGGTCCAGGGTGAGAGACTCCAAGAGACTTTTTTTGGAGATTCTGCTTACTTTGATCACACACACAAACACATGCATGCACATGCATACACACACACACACTCACTCACACACAGTTCCTCTTAAGCTGCCTGAAGCCTTCTGTTACACCTTCCCCCTGCCTCGACGTTTTAGATGCTTTTTGCCCCGTGATAAGCCAGTGCCAGGCTCCGTGTGGATTGCCGAGAGCAGCAGGCATGGCTCTGCCTGGGTCTCCCTGCTGTGCTGCTCTGGGGAGACGCGTGGTGACCGAGTCTTTCATGTCCTATTAAACATTGTGCCCTCCTTAACTAAGTTACTGCTCCTAATGTAAGACGCTCTCCCCTCTGGAACTACATTATTTTTTGTTTTTTTTTTTTCCTCCCATGATGCATCTGCAACTGACCTGCAGATTTTATCTTGTCCTTTTTGCAGACTGGAAGTGCCTCCAGAGGCCCTACCCAGAGCCGGGCTCCCTTCTGCCCCTGCCTCTGCTTGCTCCCTCCCTGCGGCCCCTCCCAGGGCTGGTCAGGCACCTGTCCCCGCTGGTCTGGGGCGTGGCTCCGAGACACAGCCCTCTGGGAGTCCTCCTGTCCTCTGCTCTCCCTCATCTCCCATGGCAGCCCCCGTGTCCACGTCTACACCCATCAGAGCCTGGCCTTCCGCAGACCAGGCCCAGGCTGGTGCCGAGGCGACGTCTCTGCTCCTTGAGGCTGAGCTGCAAGAGGAGCATTTCACTCCAGTTCCTGACGCTGTTTGTTCTGCCTCGGGGTCGCTTGCCAGACAGCCTCCTGAGTCCACATGTGGAGGGACAGCAGCCGTGCCACTGGAGACCCGCGAGGCAGGCCCGGAGGAGAATTTCAGCAGCTGTGTGTCTGAACGGGTGCTCCCAGAGCAGCCCTCGGCAGGGCGAGAACTCCCCAGGCTCCCCCTGCAGACACAGGCCTGCAGCCCTGCATCTGAAGAGGTCCAGGACGGACCGTCTGGCCTTCCCCTTAGCAGTGGCAGGATTGCCAGCCCAGCCAGGAAGCCTCCGGTGGGGAGGACCTCTGACTTTGAGGATCAGCCTGGGGCTTCGGTGGAGCAAAGTTGGGGAGGAGGAGCCACGTCCACAGTTAGCGAAGCCGCGTCACCGCCCGAGGTCGGGGGGCCGGTCCTTCTGTTCGACCCCGTGCAGAAGGTGGAGAAGGTGGGCCTACATGGCGCCGAGGGCCGGAAGATCAGGAAGCACGTGTCCTTTTCCGAGCAGCTCTTCACAGACGAGGAGGTGCCGCGGCCCCCGGGGAGGGCAGAAGGTGAAAGAGACCCCTCAGAGCGCCCACGTGGAGGGGCTGCCACTGGAAGAGTGTCTGCAGGGGAACCCCCTGGGTCTCCCCCACCAGAGCATGCAGAGATGGAGTCTGGGGCGGCACCCGGGCTGTCGGTTCACAGGGAGCCCCCTCCCACAGCGGGTACCCTGCTGCTTCCCTCGCGTGGAGACAGCGCCCCAGAGACAAGCTCAGCCGAAGACCCTCCCCTCTTTAGGGTCGAGGACGATAGCCTGGTGACCCAGTGTCAGAGCAAAGCCAGCGATCACGAGGGTTTATCATGCAGCCCCCTGAGCGACCTCCAGTCCGCGCCCGGTGCGAAGTGTCCAACCACGGCCGACCTGAACCTCACTCTGCCTTCCATCCCTGAAGTTGCCTCAGATGACGAGAGGGTCGATCAGGCTGAAGGTGACATCAGGACAGAGGAGTTGGCTGCTCTGGAAGTAGAAGCTTCCTCCTCGGGCCCGGAGCAGGGAGAGGGACCGAGGGAGGCCGCAGATGGGCTGGCGCCTGCAGAGAGCCCAGGGAGCGCGAGTGACCTTGGAGCAGAGGCAGCCAGGGCATCGGCTCCAGGTCCTCCCGAGCAGCCGGCAGACTTAGGTCTCGGCAGGAGCACAGGTTTGGGGGGACAGCTGCCAGGCCCAGGTGCTGGCCAGGGAGGCAGGCAGGAGGGACGTGGGATGCCGGGGCAGCCTCCTGGCCCAGCCTTGGGCAGCCCCGAGCCCAGCCCCACCCTTCCAGAGCCCTTTTCCGCCG